CATACCATCATTCTCTTGCATAGTATTCCACTAAAACTCTGCTTTGAAAATGAGATTTTTGACATTTTCAGATGTCTCTAACTGATATGTATCGTTAACGCTTTTCAGATTTTACTGCTGCCTCAAACACACATAAAGGACAAAAAGTAAAATCAAAGCAAACAAACAAATAAAACAGATTAAAACGTACCAGTTGCTTAAAATGCAGCCCATCTCCATGCAGGTCAGGCTCAGCCAGATGCTCATGAATACAGTTGTAAGTCGCAGACCAGCACGGGTTGCGTGTTGTGAAGTTTTCGAAAGCTCAAGGTCACTCGCTGCTCTTCTGGTCACAAACTTGCTGTCAAGGCACTGACCGCTTTTCTGCGCCCCCCCCTCCCGCCCCTCTCCCCTCCCCCCCTCCCTCTTCAAACTGTGGCATACCGACATGACAGTTACTGTATTTAATTTCATATTCGTTTAATTCATCCCTTTTTTTCCCCTCACTTTGACAGGACTGTTGTACTTTTATAAATATATGATTCCCCTCGGATCTCCTGGCCACTGTTTGCACAAGGTTACTGCACAATTAAGCAACAAAGTTATTCAGTGAATGTCATCTCATCGTTCAACTGTTAGAACATCAAACTGAACTGCATATTCCTCAGTGGGCAAAACAAAGAAAGGGAAATCTAGAATGAGCACAAGTCTTAGGTAAAGAACAGTGTGTTTATCACTGAAATCACGTGGCATGATGGCTTTTGTATAGTAATTAGCTGTTAACTTTTCAAAGACATAATTAGTCTGTGTCAATTCTTGTTTTGTACCTCTCCTCCGCTGTGTTCAGAAGGGGGGAAAAAAGAGGCAGCCAAAGAAAATACAACCAAAACCACATCCTCTTGTGATCATTAAAATGGAAAAAAGGAGGAACAGCTGCTCAGAACAAAATAAACACATTAACACCAATGTTCCACAGCGTGCAATCACACAGGCCCGAAGAGACAGCTGCCCACTTTTAATTACACTAGCCTGACGTTTGTCTTCTCTTCTGCAGTTTTTTTTTTTTATTCTGACAACTTTTCTAACTTTTATTGTCTTTATTTTTGATCTTGTTGCATCCCAGTTCTTCCCTATGCTACAACGAAATTGTTCAAACACAGATTCTTTCCTCCAACGAGAGCTTAATCAGGTCTTGTTAGGAGGTCATATGGCTGCTCCCTTGGCCAGAGAGAGAGATTTAAGTAAGAGATTTTGAACTCTACAGGATGTCAGAGGTTATGTGGTTCAGGTGGTAGAGCAGGCCATCTACCAATTGAAAGGTTGGATTGACTCCCGGCTCCTCATCCTTGAGTAAGATACTATTCCCTAAGTGGCCAAGATGCAACCATCGGAGTGTGAATGTTGGATAAAAAGGTATAGGTATAGATAAAAGCACTGCATGAATGAAAGCGCTTTGAGCTTTGAGTGGTCAAACTGAGTAGAAAGGCATAAAGGTTAAAAAACTTCTAAGTTCAGAAAAATTAACTTTATGTGGACTTTTTATAAGTTTCCTTATTTCCTGCCATGTCTGTATATTAAGTAAATATATTAAAGAATCAATGTTTTTGCAAGCAGGATTCATATCCTTAATATGTAGATCTCAGGGGTAACCAGACTTAAAGAGGAGCTAAATTGACTTGATTTACACCTCAGTCTTACATGGCTAGAGACCACTCCCCACAGCTACCTCTGGTTGCTAGGGGAAAATGTGTATTTTTTAACCACTTGCCAAGTGGTTACTGCCTGTGACTACAATCATAAAGAGGATGCTGCAGCAAATTGCAGATTGCTAGCAAATTGGCTATAGTTTGCATGGATGACACCTACTTGTCTGCACGCACTATAATGTAAAAGTTTTGCCACTGAACACTGAAACTAATACATTCTGAAAGGTGCTGCTTTTATTTAAGGCCAATTATTTCTGTATGCGTTTTGCATCACACTTTTAACAGTTTCACTACGACTTAGCGAACAGTTGCAGACTTTTAGACAAGTTGGTATCTCGTATACAAGTTACAGGCGATCGCCGCTATAAACTAGCTACTAAAATTATTGCAAGATTTTCCGTGCAGCACCTTATAGCTCTTTAAAATAAATTGCACCTAGCAACTGCCAGCAATTTCCAGAAAACCACTCCCCAACCAGGCGGGGAAATACAAATGTTTCCTAATGACCAGCCTCTTGGTGTGTTTGTCTAATTATTGACCAATTATGCTCATTTTAGATCCATTTTAAGGGAGATATTGGCTATAGCTATTTTGCTTTTACCCAGAGATCTGCTGCTCACTGGATATTTTCTCTTTTTTGAAAATTCTCAGTAAATCCCAAGTTATCTGTATCTTCTGAGATACTAGGCCCATCTGGAAATATATACATTTACTTATAAATAAATAAGATAATGCTTTAAGTCCATAAGTTCAAATATAAAATTTCCAAAATCTGAGATACAAAAAAAGGCCTTAGCAGTGTTTTTCTGTCATTGCTCTTTTTCTCCTTCAAGTTTAAAGTGGAAATGTCCCTTTAATGTGTACCTGGAGATTAAGGGTGATATCAAACAGCACAACATTTTGCTTCTAAAGTTTAAAACAAAGTCTAGCTAAATTTGGATAAAATATACCTATCTATATTTTATTAAAAACATTTCAACTGTGTTTATTCAAACAACGTCCTCAGAGTCATTTCGAATGCATGAGCGCTCTTGCATTCGAAATGACTCGTGCAAAAAAGAAAAAAGAAAGCTCCACTTTTAAGTTCTTCAACGTCGTGAATTTTCCCTTTTAAAATGCATCTCATCTCAGACAAGTTGGCTGATTAACACAGGAATTTTTTTAAAGTCATACAGGTTCCCCAATGGCCTAGAAAAGATTGGATTGTGTGTGTGTGTGTGTGTGTGTTTTTTTTTTTTTTACAGCATTGTTTCCCTTGAAAACGCAGCCAAACAGTGAACAGAAAGAATGACAAATGAGGACGAGCCCTGTGTTTTACAGGAATGATTCTTAATTACATACATAGCTGCCATTTAGAGCCTATTGTCCTGCCTGAAAGTTGGCAGACATTAGCACAATGTGTTCACTGCATCCTTTCTTTCTCTGTCTTTATTTGTTTTTCTCCCCCCATTTGAGGGTTACACAGCACAGCCATTCTAAACCCTCCATAATTTCCACAGTAATCAGTCTGTTCTTTTTTTTTTGCAGTAAAGCTTTAATCAAACATCCTATACCCTATACCAGCCAGAAATGTGTTATTCTGACAGAAAAACAAAAAAGCATGCAATTACTCCCAGAGGAGCTGTCCCTCCTCTCCACTACAGCTGCAGGAACGAGGGCACTATTCCAAACGCATCCTCCTCCTTTTTCCTTTCACTTCTTCTCTGTGCTGAAACTCTTCCTCCTCCAAACAATAATGACAGAGGATGTAAAGACGTGTTTTGTAATGTACACAAAGTAAAAGAACAGTAAGACAGCGCTCTCGTCCTCAAGAGAAATGTCACTGTGTGATTAATAATGAGGGTTTATCCTGTAATTGCATTCGTCATTTGTAAAATTTATTTCGCAAACCTATTTGTCATCTTTATTGTTCTCCCATCCAACAAAACATTCGTCATCTCGAAATAGTAAAGTACTACCTACTGAAAGGATAACAGCCCTAAAAAGAAAAGCTGTTTTTGATGACTGAAGAGCAAAGGACAAATGTATGCCGATTGAGGCATGAGTGTTTGATGTGCAAGAAAGAATTTGTTTTTTATTTTGGACCTTTTGTTAAGTGCTTAAGCAAATATTTACTATTAATTAGTTGATAAATAGATTATTATTATCACCCAGATAAGAAAGTCAGCATCTGGGAAATTTTAAAATATATATTTTTTTGTTTTTATTGCTCACAGGAAAAGAGGAAGATCACAGAGAAGATGTCTGGATGCAGCAAAGGAGGACGAAGAGAGTGTTGGTTTGACAGAGGAGGATGCTCAAGGGGCAGATGACCCACTGCCCGCACAGAAAAAAACATAAATCACCTAAATGATGGGCGTTGTGCATTGTTTTTAAGGCGCCTGCCAGGTAGGTTGCTCAAAGCATCTTGAAGAACTTCCCACTGTCCTGTGGCAAGGCTGTCTCAGCTGCTCATCGACACTATCTGTTGCTATAACCCCTTCTTGTAGCTGATAAGATGCTTTATGTTTTTGCATTGCTGCAAATTTAGAGTTGTTTTTATTTGTGCTGAAGAATAAATTTGAGGCCAGTCACATGTCTCCCTCATGATTCTGTGTGATGTATCTAAAGTGCCAAAAAATGTTGCAGTGTTTAATCAGAAAATACTGCACTGATTTCTTCTTGCAGCTGTTTCTCAGATTTATAGTGTACATATAACTTATTAATGCAATTTGCACTACTTGCTTGCACAGTCTTACTTTTTACTCCTTTTTAACTTGATCTCATTTTTATTTCATATTTATATCTATCTTTTTTGGCCAGTTATTATAGTACTACAGTGAATTACAGTAATTTTATTATTAAATCTCACTTGTTCATTAAAAAAGCAATAGCAACTTGCTTAATGCATTAACTGTCACTGCACCGGGTGGCTCCCAGACACATTATTTTTATGCGCTCTCTGATAGTTAGGGATCCTGAGGCCGAGGCCCCTTCACTGTCCATGTGTACACAAGTAGAGACCAGTTTTGTTTTGTTTACCTGGTTGTCGTATATTACCCACCTTTATTTAAGAGTCCCAGAGATTATTTAACAATGAGCCACTTAGTAATCTTGTGATGAGACAAAAACATTTAGCATAATTTGAAATACTGTAACATTTCAATGGGCGTTCCACCAAGCAAAAACAATGTGCAAACAACTGTAACTTCGAAAAATGTATAATTATTGAATCTGTATGTGTAATCAATACACATGTATGCCTACAGTATAAAGTGTGTCAGCTAGTATTTTTGTCAGTATTGTATCAGTTTGTTACATTTAAAAATCCTACTGACTGTGAACGCACCCCTAGCTTGCTCCTTAGCGGTATATTTGGATTAGACGGAGTATTAGCTAAAGAAAATGGGTGACGACTTGGGTGACGAGTGGTGGCAACACGAGTACAAATCAGGTATTTGGGTTAACCCTGTACATTTGACTTCTCTTGTTGTATTGGAGGTCCTGGTGTATTCTAAGGAAACACAACGGTAGCTTGGAGCTGTTGCAGAAATTGTCGGCTAAGCGTAAGCTAACGCTAGCTAGCAACAATCGCAGCAGTCTGAGTTACTGTTAACCTCTGGGTACATTCGTGCAACATTAACCTAAAGTACACTTTAGCGGCAAGTGAAAAGACAAAGCAGTGCTAAACGTGACTTACGTTTGGTTAGTTATTATCCGCCTTGGTCGCAGTAGTAATTATGAGCAGGGGGTATATTAACACGTGTTTTTTTTATGTGCGGGTCACTGCAGAAAACGAGCTTATAGGACCGGTAAAGTTGCTCTAATGTCCCCTATCGTGCCCTTCGCTTTCTTTCAACTTAAAACCTAACTGTCTTACACACATAGGTTTAAGCATTCAGTGGGATGTACCCACGTTTCTTGCCACATATCAACACAGGAAGTTCCCTGCGGCTACTTCTGGAACAGCTTCATGCACTCTGCATACCAAAAGAGGGCAGTCGTGCTGTTTTAGGACGAATGACCTGATTGTGTAGCGATCATATTGGAATGTGAGCATGATGCTGTATTTTCGAGTCATTAGCAATTTTTAAGCTAAATATGTTCATTCACGTTTTCTGCATTTGTTGTCTCCGCACATGCACGCAGAAACAAAACACAATATGCCAGGTGTTAGTGCATGTGTCAGTAAAATATATTGAATTGAGCCATACTCAGTTCAATTTCTGATCCTTATTACGTTATTTATATAATGCAATATACCGCTCTTTAATATTATACAGGTGTTAACGTTGCTTTAAAATACTAAACATCTATGTGTTTACAGATCAGCGCAGACTTTAATTGATTAGTTGATCTATTACTTATATAATACATATATTTTACTTGTATATTAATTTATTAGAGTTTACCTATTTGTTTACTACAGTTTCCTCTTGGGGCTGATTGGCCACTTCTGTAAAATCTGCATTCTTTCATAAAAGTTGGGATTTGTTCATGATGAAAGTCATGACCAGGCAGTGAGAAGGGTTCTACAAGTTGCCTGTTCTCCATGTGTCCTGGGCAATGAGCTGTGATCACCTTGAAACGCTTCATCAGAATGTATTATCTGCACAGGTGATAATCTCCAACCTTTCATGCTATTACTTATGTAAACCCATGTGTGTTTTTATGTCCAGAGATTTGTGCAGCGCTTTCTTTTTGTAGGTTTGCCCCTGGCATAACCGTCCTTCCGTGCGTTCATATCACAGAGCTGCTTGACAGAAATGGCTGCAAGGCTGACAGAAAATTGACAGGGCTGTAAAGCAGAGTTGAAGTCTGTTAGACGGAGGATGGGATTGACTTTGAAGTCTTAAGAATAAAGCAGCAATTTGCAAGAAGCAGTGCAACTTTTTCCTGCTTTTTTCTATATTTCTTTTCTTTCTTTTTTGTGATGATGTGTCTCGTGGCCAAATTCTCAAACCAATAATAAAGATTCTTACGAGAGCCCCTGTCAAGTTGCACATTAATATTTCTCTGCAACTGTTGTTAGATACACACTATTTGTAGGCTTGCTGCCAGCGTCTCTCCCCCCAGGACATGTAATGGTATCCCCCAGTGTTGTCAGCTAGTTTCCTATTTAGATGGCACAGCTCATCATGACTTGGTAACTAGATTTCATTTGCTGAAGTGTCTTAGGCTATTTATTTCTGCCACACTGTGTAACTGTTCATTTTGTCATGTTGCACTTAAAAATATCTAATAAGGGTTGTGTTCACTTAAAACAGCAAAGGCTGCTGTTATGGTTTCAGGGTTGATGCGAGCTTATTTAAAGGAATCGTCTGACCTAATTAAAAATAATAAATTGATTGCTGTTGTTTAACTTGTGTGTTTTTCCAGCCTTATTGAGCTTTTGCAGAAGTTATCACTGTGCCTAATGTGTGAGGATTATCTGTGCTATTTCGGAAACTAAGGCAGTAAACTGTATTTTCTCCAAGATAAACAATAATTCCTTATTCCTGTGCATATTTTTCTTTCATAACAGATTTAATTTTCCATTACTTTTTTCAACAGTACACTTGCTATTTTTTTTTTTAGCATTCTTCATCTGAATCTTAAATAGGTGTCTTGAAAACAACAGAATTATTGTTTAGCTGAATTTATCACTTAAGTGAAACTTTGAGAACCAAAACTACTTTTGTCTACGTCATACAGGCTGTAGAATCATAACGTAAGCACATCAGTATGGTGACACAATGCCTCATTAATCTATAAATTGGGATATTTGTGTGGCAGGAGAAGGCACATGCTGAATACATTGGGGGGTCTTGCTTGTTTTCACAGCACAGGAAAGCAGTGGAAATGTATCTATTAAACCTTTTTAAATGATTTAATTGGATCACTTGTCACTTTGAAATTAGTTAAATGCTAATAATAACAATTACAGTTCATAATATTTACTAAATAAGTAAATTAGTGGTCAATTCACAATTAAACCTGGACACCTCCTCCATCACCAAGTGTTCCAAGTTTCCTTGCATTAGGGGGGAACAAGGTTTTTGAGTTGAACCCAGCTCAGCAAACATATAAAGCTTTTTTTTCTTCCAGTAATTCATCAAACATCAAAGCACTGTTTTGCACTCACTTTTTCCCAAATCCAGCTGTTTTGCATTTAAACTGGCAAGCGACCCAGTTCCTCTGAGAAGTATTCAGTATGAATACATAGAAAACAAGATAATTTTTAATGAACAAGGGAAAAAAAGGAATGTTATTGAAACACTGACATCTCACTTATGTCTTAGACAGGCACTTGACATACCTTGTTAAAGTCAATAAATCTTGAGACAGTAATCAAATAAAGTAAGCTTTACAAAGGCTCTCATTAAACAAACATGACGAAACATTCAAATACATCAAAATACTTTTGCATTTGCAGAATTATTTTGGTTGTGTAGAGTTTAAAATGATGACTAAGGACATATTTTTTGCAAAATACATATTATATATTTGTATTTCACCTAAATACAAAGGCTGCTTATTGTAACATTTAAGGATTATGATCCTGGCAGGCTAGCAGGGGATATAGTGATGCTACTTGTAATCTTTCCAACACCTTTTACATGACAGCCGTTAGTGAGTACTTGAGTTCTTTGTTCATGTCGAACATAGTATGGCCCAATGGGCTGTGGGAAATTGTGGGTCATACCATGTCGGGGCTGGAAATATGGGCTCCCCAGATGGATGTGGATCTTACTGTCCTCTGTTGTGATGATACTGGGACTTGAGTCAGGGGTACTGGACCTCGAATGGTGCCAGCCGTTCTGCTGTTCAGGTGTCTTGCAGAAAATGGTCTGATCTGTAACCTCTGCTGGCTCCGGAGAGCAACTCCTGACAGTTACGATCTGAATAGGAGAGCTGTTGTGGTCGGGTGTGACAGAGCGTGAGGAATTTGGGCTCAACATCCGAGACATGTTCGCTCCGTCAAGGGGGGAGATGGCACGGTCAGGGTTGGAAGTGGGGGTCTTAGGGTTCTGGATGATGGTAATTCTCTGCTTAGGTGAAGCTCCACTCGTCGGGATTAGGGCTGTGCTGGTGTATGATGACGCTGTCTCTCCAGTTGGGCTACTGATCTCGAGCATTGCTGTGTTGAGGACATGATGCGGTGTTACTTTGATGTGCAGTGGCTGACCTGGTGTGTGTGTTAACATCATAACTTCTCCATTAATTGTTGTGTGCATTTCTGTCCCTGAGTGGCTGCTGTCCTGGCTTAGGTTGTTATTTGAACTGTTTAAGCTGTTAAGGCTGTTGACAGGAGAGCTCCTTTTGTTGATGATCTCTACATTATGGTTTGGGTCTGTGTCACCATTTTGTTCATCTAGTTTCTTGCTGTGCCTCCGATAGTCAGGAAGCAGGCTCTGTGTAGGTTCAGTTTGTACCTCTCTGGTGGTCTGATCATGGACTGCAGTGTGTTTGCTGGCACTGGGTTTCACACTATTGATTTGTTTGTATCTGTCTAGCTCACCAGTAAGTTCCTTCATCTCTCTGGCCAGCTCTTTGTTCTTGGCTTCTTGCTGGTTTAGTTTTCTTTGCAGTGTGGATTGATCCACTTGCATCCTGCAGATGGATTCTTTTGTTCCCATCAGCTTCTGGAGTTTTTCTTTCAGGCTGTCTACTTCTCTGGTTAAGAGTCTAGATTTAACCTGCTCCTTCTGAAGGCGGCAAAGGAGAAGGTGCTCCTGGTTGACCTCCTGCTTCTCTGCCTGCTCGTACCTTAAAAGCTCTCTCTTTGTCACTTCCAGCTCCTCTGTTAGAGCTTGGGTCCTCGTCTTTTCCTCATGGAGCCTCTTTTCAAGACACTCAAAGTCCTCTTCCAGTTTCATCAGTTCTCCCTCCAGCACTTCCTTATCCTGGAGTCTCTTTTGCAGCTTTTCTAACTCACGGGTCAGTTCTTTAACTTTGTTGTCCTCAGTTTGGCAGTAATAGGCAGTGTTATTTGGAATAGAGGTGTATGAGTATTTGTCTTCTTTTTCTTTCCTGTTCTCCAAGACCTGTAACTTCTTCTTCATTATGGTTACCTTATTCTGTAGTTCTCTGTTTCTTTCCTCCTCTTTGTTCAGACTGTCCAGGAGATCATCTTTTTCCTTTGCTATGCTCTTTATTGTTTCTTCCAAGTCCACTTGAGACCTCAGTGCCTGCAGCCTGTCCTCTCTCAGCTTTTCTGTCATTGTGGCCAAATTGCCATGCTCGTTTCTTTTGCCCTCTTTCCTATGTAGTTTTTCCTCAGCCTGTCGGAGCCTCTCAGCCATAGTTTTTCTGTCCTCCACCAAAGCTACAGTAAGTGACCTGAGCTTGCCAAGATCCTGTCTGACGACCATTTCACTCTTCTCCAGTTGGCTCTCAACGGCCTCTAGATCTCTTACCTTTAGCCTTAAAGTGTCAAGTTCATCAGAAAGCATTTTGCTGCCCTGTCTCTCT